CGGAGCCGTCCCGGGGTGACCCTCGGGCTGTTTAACGATTGACGGGCTGTCGGGACACTGCGGGACTCTGCCCGTGTCACCCCCCGGGCGGGGGCCACTGCCGTGTCCCCGGACACGCTCTGACACCCGCGGGGGTCCCACTGGGGGGTTCCCCGGGGCTGTGCACCCTGTCCCTGTGTCCCTGTGTCCCTGTGTCCCTGTGACGGCCCCTCCTGTGCCCCCCGAGGTGACTCTGCTCCGGGCCGGGCTCTGCCTCCCGCACCCTCCTCCCTCCCAGTGCTCCCAGTGCTCCCAGTGCCTCTCCCAGTGCCTCTCCCAGCACCTGCAGCGTCCAGCTCCCGGTTTGGAGGGTGGGACAGCCCCTCTCTGGAGGGCCATGCGAGGTGCAGGGGTGCTCCCCAGCCCCGCCGAGGCTCTGCCAGGCAGAGCACAGAGGATGACAGTGACAGGTACTGGGGGCAGGGAGGGGGTGGTACCTTGAGCCCTCCCACCCCGAGGTTTTTGGGGGGCTGCTCTGAGGGCATCAGTGCTGGGGACACTGGGACACCCTCACGGGACACGGAGACCCCCCTGGGGACACTGGGATCCCCTGGTGACACCCGAATCACCCCGGGGACACAGGGACCCTTCTTGATGACACTGGGATCCCTGAAGGGTCACCAGGACCCCCTCTAGAGACATTGTGACCCACCCTGGGGACAGCAGACCCCTCCAGTGACGCTGGGATCCCCCTGGGAACACCAGGACCACCCCTGGGGATAGTGGGACCCACCCTGGGGACACGAAGACTCTCCCTGGGGATACTGGGACCCTCTTGGGGACACCAGGACCCACCCATGGGACACCCTTGTGGTTTTGGGGGGCTGCTCTGGGGTGTTGGTGTTGGAGGATGGCAGTGACAGCCTCGAGATGCCCACAGGGGCCCGTTTGGGGTCAGGGTGGCCATGAGAGGACACAGGCCAGTGGCCAGATGGGCCAGAAGGGGTCCTGGTGTCCCCAGAGGGTGATAATGTCTCATGGGGAGGGTCCCAGTGTCCCCAAGAGCTGGAGGGGACGGGGACAGGGTCAGTGCCTGCTTTTAGGGGGACACACAGGGTGGAGCTGGCTTCAATTTGGGGTGGGCTGGGG